TATTAAATAATGTCCAGGCTAATCCATGCTTTATAATGGGAGAGGATGGTAGCCCAAAATTTGAAGTCCAAAAAACTGCACCCATCCATTATAAAAGAAGTCCACATGGCGTCGTATGCTCGTTCACGAGAGAGTGGCGTCCAGTGGATGACGTAAGACGCAGGCGTAGCGTAAACTCCGGTGAGACTATGCTAGTCTCGCGAGAAACAAGTTTTGTTTACAGCAAAGGAAAACCAGTGTCCTCTTGGATTATATTGAAATCCTCCGACATTTTTCTTTACAAATCCTCATTTTGTACTTCTAATTCGTGACCGGTGTTTTGTTTCGCCGTCACTTCCGCGTTTGCCTACGTCTTACGTCATCTGCTGGAAGCCACTCTCTTGAGAATGTGCGTACGTAGTGGAAGCTAGAGAGTAAGGTAATTTACAATAAAGTTGTAAATATGGATATTTTTCTTACACAAACGCATTGCGTTGCTTCAGAAGGTCTTTTATTAACCCCCCGGAGCCGTGTGGACTTCTTTTATAATTGATGGGTGCAATTTTTTGGACTACAAATTTTGGGCTACCATCCTCTCCCATTATAAAGCATGGATTATTCTGGACATTATTTAATATAACTCCGATTATATTCGTTTGAAAGAAGAATGTCATATACACCTAGAACGGCTTGAGGGTGAGTAAATCATGGGGTAATTTTCATTTTTGGGTGAACTGTCCCTTTAAGGCCTTGAGCGGCATGATTTGATAAAGGAAGCTTGTTCTGGTCTTGTTCTTGGTGGGAAAGAATCCCAATCCTTGGAGGGCCACTGTCCTGCTGAGTTTAGCGCCAACCCTTTGGATAAAAGCATGTTTACTGATGTACAGTATGGTGACATTTATATTGATTAATTTGGCTATTATCCAAAGTGACTTATATTGAAGGTATACATCTCAACAACCCAGCAAAACTGACAAGAAACTCATGTGTAGCATTGGAAATTCTGATTTGTTCTAGTGAATCAGTTCATTCAGATGATTCATGTAAATGAACTGATTCAAAAAAGTCTATTTGTGACATTTTAAAGCATTGGAAATTCTGAATCATTCCAGTGAATCAATTCATTCAGATGATTTGTCTAAATGAACAGATAAAAAAAGTTTGTTTGCAACATTATAGCATTGGAAATTCATATTCATTCCAGTGAATCAATTCATTCAGATGATTTGTCTAAATGAACAGATAAAAAAAAGTCTATTTACGACATTTTAAAGCATTGGGAATTCTGAATCATTCCATTGAATCAATTTATTCAGATGATTTGTGTAAATGAACTGATAAAAAAAGTTTGTTTGCAACATTATAGCATTGGAAATTCATATTCATTCCAGTGAATCAATTCATTCAAATGATTCATGCAAATCAACTGATTCAATTATACTGAAGGTATGCATTTCAACAGTTCATGCATTCCCTGGGAATCAAACCCATGATCTTGACATTGCTAGTGCCATGATTTGATAAGGGAAACTTGTCCTGGTCTTGTTATTTGTGGGAAAAAAATCCCAAACAAGATGCTTTGATATATATACAGCAGGCCACTGTCCCGCAGGTGCAGGATTGGATACCCCTGATGTACAATATGGTGACATTTACATTTATGCACTTGGCAAATGCTTTTATCCAAAGCGACATTTTAAAGGTATGCATTTCATCAGTTCATGCATTCCTTGGGAATTGAAACCGTGATCTTAGTGTTACTAGTGCCATGATTTGATAAGGGAAGTTTGTTCTGGTCTAGTTCTTGGTGGGAAAAAATCCCAAAGAAGATGCTTTGCCATGTTCTTTGTGTACAGCAAGGATACCCAAACTTGTTCCTGGAGGGCCACTGTCTTGCTTCAACCTTAACTAAACACACCTGAACCAACTAATCAGTGACTTACGACTCACTAGAAACTTCCACACAAGTGTGTTCGAGCTGTTTGGAGCTAAATTCTGTAGGACGTTGGGCCTCCAGCAGCAGGATTGGACACCCCTGAGACTTACATTGGATTCAAGGTATGGATTTGATCAGTTCATGCATTCCCTGGGAATCAAACCCATGACCTTGGTGGTACAGCAACAGGCCTTTGAATCGCAGCTGTGGAAAATAAAAAGGATGAATTCATCAGATAAAAATGCCACTTTTCATACAGGTACAAGCAACAATATGCAGTTATTTGCAGTTTGCAATCATTAATTTATTTCTGTCTTGAAGTAGATTTCAAGATACAAAAATACAATGATTTAAAACATTATGCAATTGTAAAATATATATTTTAAAGTGAAATGTGTAATTTTTGAGTCACCCAACAGAATTGCAAAAATGATACCTATTCTAAAACATAAAAAGGCAGCATACTGGCACAGTAACATAAAGGTTCTCAATTAGGGTGTCAGCAATTAACCATTTGAACCAGGGGGTTTATAGTAAATTAACCTAAAATTATTATAAAAATATTTTTCGTTAATTGGAATAAAATAAATGTTAACTGAAATAAAATAAAATAAAAACTTTAACTTTTTTTTATTTTAGCTCGTTCATTTCTCCTTTTCATTTAGCTCAACACTGGAATGGCAAACCTCAAAAGAGTTGACAAAGCGTTTTTACCTGAGTTCTCTTTGTTGCTCCATTTCTCGATGCCAGGAAAGGCCGCCTCCAAATCCAATTTTCCAAAACGAAATGCATAACCATTCATAAGTTTCTTGGGAAGGCCGCTACCGGATCCACCGGAGGACGACCGTTCCCGGTGGCCTTTAAACTGCAAGGCCTTGTTGGTACGTTCGAGAGATTTGGAGCGTCTCTCACCCAGACTGAACTCGGCGCTCTTGGATGGATGGACAGCGGGAGAACCGTTGCGAGATTCATCTCCTCCCAGCCATCCACGATCACAGGTTCTCCGAGGGATCGGATCCTTTGTGACGGAGCCGTGAGGCGCTCCTGGCTCAGATTCCGTCCCTTCCTCCAGAATTGATTCTGAGCTGGAGCCGAGGTTCATGGGGTTCTGCAGTGCCTCCATGTAGGACTTGCGGAAAAGCCGGCGCGACTCGAAGGCCGCAGAGTCTCTGGGATGCCTCTTGCGAAGGCCGGGATTGCTAAGGTCTGTGCTGAATGAGAGGATTTTGTTGCCGATTCCGCCTCGAATGCATCCCTGATCTGGGCTGCCCAAGGTGGGCGTCTGGGGAAGGGAGTTGGGACTCTTTTGCAAGGGCGAATCCTCCGAGTGCAGGGAGCTGATGCCCATATCCGTGAGGCTCCGGCTGAGGACTGGCTCAGAAACGGTGGACTCAGCACCCAAGGAGTCTCGGGAACTGAGCGTTCCTGTGGATCCGTGGGTGCTGCAGGTGCTGAGCTGACCCCGCAGGGTCCCGCCGCTGCTCCGCGCCTGCATGATTGCGTCGGCAGTGCTGGTCACGAACAAAGGATTGACCACGTTCTTCCAGGGCGTTCGGTAAACCACAGCGCCGGTACTGAGGAGGCAGTTCTGGAGAGGGTGCAGGTTGCGCTCATGCATTACATTCGGCAGGAACTCAGGTGTGAACACGTTGCCGTACATGCTCTCGGACACAGGGATCTCTGCGATGGCTTGCCCGCTCCCTGACAGGCATTTTATGACCAGTTTGGCAGCCTTGCGGCCTAAGGGAACCACCTGCAGGTAGAAATCTCCCTGCCGTAGACGTACTTTATGCAGGGGTGCAAGTTGCAGAACCACCTTTTCATGCAAACACAGTGGCCATCCCTCATGGTACAGCAACAGGCCTTTGAATCGCAGCTGTGGAAAATATAAAGGATGAATTCATCAGATAAAAATGCCACTTTTCGTACAGGTACAAGCAACAATATGCAGTTATTCGCAGTTTGCAATTATTAATTTATTTCTGTCTTGAAGTAGATTTCAAGATACAAAAATACAATGAATTAAAACATTATGCAATTGTAAAATATATATTTTAAAGTGAAATGTGTAATTTTTGAGTCACGCAACAGAATTGCAAAAATGATACCTATTCTAAAACATAAAAAGGCAGCATACTGGCACAGTAACATAAAGGTTCTCAATTAGGGTGTCAGCAATTAACCATTTGAACCAGGGGGTTTATAGTAAATTAACCTAAAATTATTAGAAAAATATTTTTCGTTAATTGGAATAAAATAAATGTTAACTGAAATAAAATAAAATAAAAACTTTAACTTTTTTTTTATTTTAGCTCGTTCATTTCTCCTTTTCATTTAGCTCAACTTGATGTACTATAATTAAAACTGAAATAAAAATGTATTTAAAAAATACATATATAGGCGTATTTAAAATAAACTGAATTACAAAAAAACAAAATTACTAAAACTTTAACCAAAATTAAAAAGAAAATGAAAATGATACAAATTATTAAAAAAAACTGTAATAGTACCTCAATGAAATTAAAGTAACACTGATTTGAAAAGCAACTAAAATCAGCAAATAAAATGAGAAAACATAAGGATTAAAATTTTAAAAGTTTATGTAAAGTTCCATGCAGGGACTCAAATCATTCAGCAAATAAATAAATAAATAAATGTATTTATTTATTTTGTGGTGAACAAACAGACCAATCTACTACAATGAATCAGACTGCACAATATTTTTTTTGAGAGAGATTTCTGCACAGGCTATACAGCGTGAAAAAGGCATTTTAAAATAAAATAAAATAAAATAAAATAAAATAAAATAAAATAAAATTAATTAAATATGATTTCAGCTCTACAAAACTGTTTCGGCCAATACCTAAAATTCATTTTCAATTGCTGAAATTTTGTTGTCACTAATTTACTGTAGGGCACATGAAGCATCACTTCCCGTCTTTATAGACCGAATCAAACACCAATGATTGTGCACACAGTGTGATAGAGTAAACGATGGCAGCATGTTGTTTTTGGTTTGGTTAGTGAGACGGTTTGATGGTCACAAGTTCAATCCCACAGTTCCCAGTTACAAACACAAACAGCAGGATGTCAGGAGGTCGCGGGACACTGATGAGACAGGAAACACCTGCCAATGTAGCGTCACCGACTGGACAATAACAGGCGGGATGGAAAATCCTGTCCCTAATGCAGAACTACATCATATCTGTGGAGCAGAGGACTTTCCAACCGGATATGTATCACCCTATCCTAAACTAACACAACCGTGACCTGGGACACTCAGCTTTAGGTTAAAGGGACAGTTCACCTTAAAATTAAAATGTGCTGTTAATTTACTCACCATCAGCCCATCCAAAATGTAGATGATTTTTTCTTTAGTAGAACAGTGAAGAAGATTTTTTGCTGAAACTGTGCTCCTTGCTGATTCATAAGTCAATGGCTACCAGCACTTTGAGAGTCAAAAAGCACATCAGGCAACACAGAATGAATCCCCGTGACACCTGATGATATATTGAGGTCTTATGAAGCGAAATGATCAGTCTGTGCAAGAACCAGTGCAACTGGTTCGTTCACTAGTTCATGTACGTAATCACACAATAACATAACATATACGCAATTATATTATTAAAGCACCCAATAATGAAGAGAAATGTGGATGTTTTATGTGTCTAAAGCATATAAAGTGAATAAACTAGTCTTCATCAGCTCACCGTGACTGTTGGAGGAACTGGAGTATTGAATGATTCATTCATCATAGGATCAGATTTGCTGCTATTTCAGCTCATTTCCAGTCGGAGTGATCTGTGCTGCTCGAGACGTGAACTGTTTCAGGCGCTTCAGTCCGATTTTAGAACTCACTAAAAAGAACCGGTTCAGAAGAATGATTCGTTTGTGAACCGGACATCACTCTGGACCGTTCGCCTGAGGTTCTGGATTACAGGTGATAATGTAGTAAATAATGTTAAGTTTCTTGCACAGACTGATCGTTTCGCTTCATAAGATCTCAGTATATCGTCAGGAGTCACGGGGATTCATTCTATGTTGCCTGATGTGCTTTTTGACTCTTAAAGTGACGGTAGCCATTGACTTGCTTTTTATGAATCACCAAAAACCACGGTTTTCAGCTAAAAATCTTCTTTACTGTTCTACTGAAGAAAAAAAGTAATCTACATCTTGGATGGTCTGAGGGTGAGTAAATTAACAGCTAATTTTAATGTTTGGGTGAACTATCCCTTTAAATAGGCAGGGGAGTGGAGAAAATGGAAATGAACTTGTTTGAGTTGAGTTGCAGACGGGGAAAAGCCCAGGAAAAATCCCCAGCAAAGCTCTGACTCTAACTCTCGCTGTTTGTTCTGCTCTGTTGGCCTTGTATTACACAATGACAATGTCCCGTCCACATGCGGTCACTCCTCCACAGGGCAGCCTTTGTTTCATTCTCCTGCAGAAAGTCTTTATTAGCGCTCTAGGAAATTAAATCACTCAGCCACATTAGCTGGGCTGCAGCTAAGGAATAATCACAGCGCTCAAACTGCAGGGAAGAGCAGAACCGCCGTTTGGAGGAAAGGTTAACAATGGGAGGAAAGGCAACATGATTTCTAACATAGTTAAACAGTACTACTGGAGCAGTGGGAAGCCATATTTGCTGCGCACCCGGGTCTCACCTCAGTCGTGGTTTTGAGGGTGAAAGAGAGTGCTGTACATTCATTCCCCCCACCTACAATCCCTGTTGGTACCGAGACTCGAACCCTCAACCTTTGGGTTACAAGTCCGACTGTAACATTAGGCCACGACTGCCAAAAAATAGCCACAAAATAGCAGCTTGGGCAGGGCAGGATTACGGACCGGTCCAGAGGGACGAGGGCCTCGGGGCCTCAGGCCACGTGACTCAAGACTACCAAAGTAAACTGAATAACACACACACACACACATTGTGCGATATGGCTGTATTTCGTCACGGCTGTGATTCGGCCGCTGGTAATTATATCTGTGCCTATATACAACCAATTCTCACGTCTACGAGTGTGATATTGCGTTTATGTGTGCAAATATATAAGAAAAAAAACAACGAAGTGTATCTAAAAACCCTATTTTGTGCAGAAATACGTCCTTCCGCAACGGATTCAAATAGTTTGTCAGTTTAACAACTGAGCTCAAGATCCGTTACTAATTCAAGAACATTACTTTAGAACATTAGTAAAGAAGGAACGTTGAGTTGCTTCATTGAAAAGCTTATTGTATCACTGTAGTAAAAGCTCACTGTTTTATGTGGAGTATGATGAGAGATTGACCGAGCGAGTGTGATTGCCTGCATCAGATACAGCATTCATTCTTCAGCTCAATCTCATATTTACAATAAAACATTAGTTTGAATGTCCGTTGAGGAAAGCGATATCTTTGTCGTACTGTCCTTTCATCTGATAAGGGTGATTTCCGATGACAGCGCTGCTCAGTGCATTTGTTAACTGCATCTTACAAGCTGTTATTAAGTCAAAATAACTTCCATTTCAGTCTCTTTCAATATAAAAGTATTTACCGCTGACTCGTAAAACAGTCTCTTGTCGCCATCTAAAGGCGGAATAATGTCACTAAAATCACCATCACGAACACACACCGTTTCCCAATACTAAATACTACTATTATTTATATAAAATATTTATTGAATAATAATTTAAAAGTTGCTAGGCAATTCAGTCAAAATTATAAAGACAGCGTTCTGATATAAGATACAGCATTGAAATTATATAAAATATAACGTGATGTGATTTTGCTCTCAGCCAAAACTATTTGCTCTGGAACAAATAATAGATTAATGAGACCAAAGACTGCCCGTTAGATTTACCCAAAACGAATTACATCTCATGTTTAACCACTATGGAGACACTATCAGAGCCAGCGGTGATTTCCAGAAGATCTGGCCGAGGTGAGGCTGCTCTCGGCGGGTTCATGAGCGCTGACGCCCTGGAGCTCACATCTCCGAAAACGTCAAAGCAAATCTTCAAATAGACGTTATCTATCTATCTATATAATCATATTTATTTATTTATTTATTATTGATATATTATTTTTGTGTGTGTTTGTAAATATAAATGCGAGTTAATTACATACACACACACACATATATAATTATAATTTAATAAAATAATATTTAAAATTTGATTCAAAAATTAAATTATATAAATTTGTAAAGTATATTTAAATTACATTCATTCATTTTTTTTTTTTACTTTTTTTTAAACATTTTATTATATTAATATTTAAGTTTTTACACGTGTTTTGCATGCATTTTTTGCAAGTTATATTTATATCAAAATTAATTTTATTTAATTTTATTTATTTTAATATGTACATTTTAAGACACCCCTACTAAACAATGTTTTATTTTGAAAATATATTTATATGTTCACATATATTCAATACATATTCAAAAGTATATAGAATATGAACATTATCAAGACACCCCTAAATTAGCACCCCTAACAAGACACCCTACTACATAACCTTTTATTCTGACTTCCCTTTATAGGGTTAAAAGATTAAAGAATGTGATTTGATGCCCCTCTAAAGGGTTCTGGCATGAGTGGGGTCTGAAGACCGGCCCGGGCTTGAAGATCTTTTGAACAACATGTTTTAACCTGAAAACTTTAGTGTTTGGTCTAAACTACAAGCTGTATTCAGGACGGCCTGCATATCAGTCTCAGTGCACCCACCCAAAACACCACTTTCAAAGCCTGAGAAGACTAAACATACAGCTGGAAGACAGCACTGGATGGAGGACTTCAAGAAAGCTGGAGATAAGTGTGGCTTTGAAGATGAAAGATTAAATAAGACTGGGCAGACGAGAGCTTCAGATGCATTTCCATAACCTTGAAGAATTTATTTCACCTGGCTGAAGCCAGTAAAAGAGCTTTTAATAGCAGCCAAAGCACCAGTGTGGCTCAGAGGAGATGTGTGGGATCTGGTCTGCCCTCTTTGATAGTGTTTATGGTGATGGTGGAGGTGCTGGATCAGACCCAGACCCGCAATTGTATCTAAATGACGTGGAGTCCAGGTGCCTCGCTGCAGCTCTGCTCTCGATTAAAACAGACGAACATCTGCTTCAAAACCGCACGGGTCAAACATCTCCATTCCTACTGCTCACACTCATGACCTGAACTGCATCATTTGCACCAAAATCATGCAGCTGGTTGAGGAAATGTTTACTTTAAAAAAAAAAAATTCCACAGACTTACATTGAGGGAGAGACCAACTTGTCGCCATCTAAAGGCGGAATAATGTCACTAAAATCACCATCACGAACACACACCGTTTCCCAATACTAAATACTACTATTATTTATATAAAATATTTATTGAATAATAATTTAAAAGTTGCTAGGCAATTCAGTCAAAATTATAAAGACAGCGTTCTGATATAAGATACAGCATTGAAATTATATAAAATATAACGTGATGTGATTTTGCTCTCAGCCAAAACTATTTGCTCTGGAACAAATAATAGATTAATGAGACCAAAGACTGCCCGTTAGATTTACCCAAAACGAATTACATCTCATGTTTAACCACTATGGAGACACTATCAGAGCCAGCGGTGATTTCCAGAAGATCTGGCCGAGGTGAGGCTGCTCTCGGCGGGTTCATGAGCGCTGACGCCCTGGAGCTCACATCTCCGAAAACGTCAAAGCAAATCTTCAAATAGACGTTATCTATCTATCTATATAATCATATTTATTTATTTATTTATTATTGATATATTATTTTTGTGTGTGTTTGTAAATATAAATGCGAGTTAATTACATACACACACACACATATATAATTATAATTTAATAAAATAATATTTAAAATTTGATTCAAAAATTAAATTATATAAATTTGTAAAGTATATTTAAATTACATTCATTCATTTTTTTTTTTTACTTTTTTTTAAACATTTTATTATATTAATATTTAAGTTTTTACACGTGTTTTGCATGCATTTTTTGCAAGTTATATTTATATCAAAATTAATTTTATTTAATTTTATTTATTTTAATATGTACATTTTAAGACACCCCTACTAAACAATGTTTTATTTTGAAAATATATTTATATGTTCACATATATTCAATACATATTCAAAAGTATATAGAATATGAACATTATCAAGACACCCCTAAATTAGCACCCCTAACAAGACACCCTACTACATAACCTTTTATTCTGACTTCCCTTTATAGGGTTAAAAGATTAAAGAATGTGATTTGATGCCCCTCTAAAGGGTTCTGGCATGAGTGGGGTCTGAAGACCGGCCCGGGCTTGAAGATCTTTTGAACAACATGTTTTAACCTGAAAACTTTAGTGTTTGGTCTAAACTACAAGCTGTATTCAGGACGGCCTGCATATCAGTCTCAGTGCACCCACCCAAAACACCACTTTCAAAGCCTGAGAAGACTAAACATACAGCTGGAAGACAGCACTGGATGGAGGACTTCAAGAAAGCTGGAGATAAGTGTGGCTTTGAAGATGAAAGATTAAATAAGACTGGGCAGACGAGAGCTTCAGATGCATTTCCATAACCTTGAAGAATTTATTTCACCTGGCTGAAGCCAGTAAAAGAGCTTTTAATAGCAGCCAAAGCACCAGTGTGGCTCAGAGGAGATGTGTGGGATCTGGTCTGCCCTCTTTGATAGTGTTTATGGTGATGGTGGAGGTGCTGGATCAGACCCAGACCCGCAATTGTATCTAAATGACGTGGAGTCCAGGTGCCTCGCTGCAGCTCTGCTCTCGATTAAAACAGACGAACATCTGCTTCAAAACCGCACGGGTCAAACATCTCCATTCCTACTGCTCACACTCATGACCTGAACTGCATCATTTGCACCAAAATCATGCAGCTTGTTGAGGAAAGGTTTACTTAAAAAAAAAAAAATTCCACAGACTTACATTGAGGGAGAGACCAACATTAAGAAACCATCATTCAGAACACCATAGCAACACCCTAGCAACCATCCAGAGCACCTTAACGCCTCTCTAAAGCATCTGATGACAAATGCATGATTGTGGAGAGGGAAAAACACAATGGGTCGGCAGCAGGGGTCCGACGACTCGGATACGTGATGCTGAACTGAACTGGCTATTTAAAAAACATCTGTGAAGTCATCAGAAAGCTTCCTTGACTGTTTAGACTTGCTGTGTTCTTCTAAAAATAAGTGAATACATATTTACGTTTATCCATTTAGCAGGTTTTATCCAAGAGACTTACAAATGAGAAATGCAACAAGCAATTTAAGGTGATTTAAAAAAATTTTTTTTTTAATTTTTTTAAGAATATATATATAATTTTTACATATTTTAAATTAATTTACAGCTTAATTTAATTTAAAATTAATCCTGAAATGCATAATATGGGCCAAACATGTCAGGTATATTTTCAAATATATATAAATAAATGTTTTAATAAATAATAAATATCAATTTTACCATTATTTTGATTGCATTGTAAAATGTCATAATATACTGTATATATATAAATTATGTAATAATAAATCATAATAATAATTAATATGATTATTCACATCTTTATACCCCATGCAATAATTGTGTCTGTGTGTTAAGCTCACAATTATTAACTGCAATTATTTGCATATCATCAGCCAAATAATGCTGACGTCCTTCAGTCTGAAAGCGGCACCTGATGTGACTGGCAGCTGCCGAACAGATTGACGTCTACAGATGGAATGTCCATTGACTCTCTGAGGACAAAAGCCACACGCAGCTGTTCTCAAACAGGTTCTGTAGTGAATCTCCGAGCGATGACACAATGACACAAACACACAGAGCAAACCCAGAGCTCACACAGACACCGCAAGCAAACGATCAGTGATTACGAGACGAGTTAAAGTGCTGTAATTGAGGGATCAATTCAAGACGCCGCTCCCATGATGTCTGGATTACAGCACAAAAGACTAAACCGAGTCCTAATGCCACTCATTACCAAACAGTTCGAGTCAAACTATGTTAACACTGTGCTTACAGACTAGCTGCCTCAAAACATGGATCAGTATATCCCTAAACAGCCATTAGAATTAGCACAGGATTCCTGAAAACTCCAGTCAAGACAACAGAGTTTGTTTCAAAGCAGCTTCAACAGTATTAAATGGAAAAATAACAGAATCAATCATGCAAACTTTCTGCTGTAAAGAGAAAGCAATAGTGTCATTATTCATCTCAGTTCAGGTCAGTGTTGATTCAACTCAATTCAAAAACCATGTCAATGTTGCAAAGTTGTCAATTATGAACAAATTTGATTCAGCTTTAAAGCTGTTTCAATCAATTCAGATAGTGTCAGTGCTGTCAAATCTATAATATTGCTGAATTTTAAGTGTCTTTTAAACAAAAAGACAACCAAAAAGCCATGTAAATATGGTTATGATGGTGCATTTCCTCATTTGCAACTCACTTTGGATAAAAGCATCTACTAAATGAATAAATGTAAATATACCACACTACAGTCACAGTATTTTTTGTAAGTGATTTTATTTTAGTATCATAGTTTTCGTTAATATTTTGAATTAGATTTTTTTCTTAAATGTTCTGCTTTCATGTTAATTTTAGTTAAAGTTGTAGTCATTTTTTTTAAAAATATGTCTATAAAGTTTTAATTAATTTGTATTTCAGTTTTAGGTTTTTTAGTACATCAAGCTAAACTAAATGAAAATGAGAAACGGTGCCTTGGAAGCTAGCTGAAATCAAATAAGAGCAAGTTTTTATTTTATTTAAAGTATCAAAAATGTTTTTATATATGGTTTCAGTTATCTATAATAACCCTGCTGTCAGAAAAGACGTTTTCCTGTTTGATAGGACCATCACAATCCCAATAGAAAGTGGTGAATGCTTTCTTCATTTAAAGTTCAATGCGATGCATAAGCGATGTCGAACGCAACCCGCAGCAGTGCGGCGCTTACCTTTATACTCAGGTAATTATCGCAGCTCCGCGACTTCACTCTGGAGTGCATAGTGCTCCGCGTCCGCATTCAGGGCCCAAGAAAGTAGATAAACCATAAATATGCAAATAAATAAATAGGTTAAGTTGATTAATCCAGTATAAGTCCATGCAGAGAGGGATTTGGGTCCTCTGCGCCCATGACTGGGTCAGCCGGTGTGTCTCTGCACTAGTGGGAAGTTTGAGAGAGAGACAGAGAGAGAGAGAGCTTCGGCCCTCCTCCCAGCGTGGCTCCTGTGGCCTCTCCCTGCTGGATAATGCATACTGATGCAATTTCCTTTAGCGCTGAGAAAACACACCATCTGAGCTGCACACAGGCACCACAACACCCCCGTCCACAAGTGCCCTGCAGGGGAACAAACCTTTACTACCCCCTCCTCTCTCGAGCGGCCGGAGCCTCCCCCTCTTTGTCCTGACAAAACAAATGCACTAGGGTTTCAGCTTATGCTGTCGCTTTTGTCAAAGAAGGAGGGAGAAAAGAAAAAGAAGACATCAGCATGCCATCGGCGGCTCGGGTCACTCGACTACAATAGTGCTGCGCTCAATCTCGCTAATCCAAAAACTAGAGCTGACACACATTAGCCGACGATTAAACGGTGCAAAACAAACAAACAACACGTCTAAATCTAATGCATTAAAACGTATTTTTATAATGCATTATATGAATACATCTATTCATTGTTACACATTCAGTGAATGAATGTAATTACTCTAAATGTATATTTTACAGTAAAATACGTGAAAAAGAAAAAGTCACTGTATAATTTACAGTGAAAAACCGTAAATTCACACTTCCAGAATTCCCCGCATGGCACTTCATAGTTTGTTTTTTTGTTGAAATAACATGTGTCTTCTTAGTTTTTTTCTTATCAGTTGTGTACATTAGGGTTTAATCTTACATCTAATGTTGTTAAATGAATGTTTATTGCATTATTTCAGTATCATGTCTGTCACCGTGATGGTGTTTAGTGTTTGTGTGAATGAGACTGTGCACGTTCTATATATAAGTATTGCCCTCCTCAGCTCGTAGAAAAGCTGTTTGTGATGAGCTTTGATTCATCATGTGACTTTCTCATCACCACCTGTGTTTGGTGGTTATTAGTGCATTACAATGGTTCAAAACAGATATTAGTACTTCAATAGGT